TGGAGGCTGGAGGATGGCGGCGGGCGCTGTGCTGGGAGAGTGGAGGTGAAACACCAGGGCCAGTGGGGCACCGTATATGGTGGCGACTGGGACATGAAAGATGCTGCAGTGGTTTGTAAACAGCTGGGCTGTGGGTCTGCTCTCGAAGCTCCTCAGTATGGATACTTTGGGCCAGGATCTGGCCAAACATGGATGGCTTATGTTGGCTGTCAAGGCACCGAGTCTGCCCTGTCTGACTGTACACACGGTGGATGGGGTAAATACACATGGGGTCACATAGCTGATGCTGGAGTGAAGTGTTCAGGTAAGGGTCAGCCCATTCCCCTCCTTTGAGGCCAGGGTGCGGGGAGGGAGCTGGCTGTGCCCTCAGGAAGCAATGAGCGGAAGCCAGAGCAGGGCTCAGTATGGCCGGTTGCAGTGCTGAGCTGGGACATCCCTTGCTGGCCTCACAGTCCCTGAGGAAAGCCCCGTGAGAGCCCACCCTGGGTGCGTACACCCTCCCTGGCCCTTGTGCTGGCTCAGCCCACCATCCCTTGGTGCCTGGGGCTCAGGTGAAAGACCCTCCCTTCCCCTTGGTCTTTCTTGGGTCCCATTTTTCTCCTCTCATTCAGCCGGGACCTGTCTGACATTGCCAGGGCCCAGGTCCCACTATGCCAGAGGCACTGAGAGCTGCTCACGTGGGCACCCACAGCCCCAGGGAAGGGTGCAGAGTGGCTGGGGACATTTGGGTGGTGCCTCCTGGCAGGCAGGAGTCCCTCAGCCTAAACACAGGGAATGCTCAAAGGGGAAAAGCACTGGCCTTGGGCAGAGGGGCAGGGGACACACAGCACCTTGTTCATCTCCGAGGGTCACCCCACCAGAGCCAGCCCACGTGGACATGGCCCTGTGCTGTCAGTGCTCAGCTGCTGCCCAGCCTCTCCTGCCTCCCCCAGCCCCTGGCTGCCCTGTGCCATGGGGGCTTTGCCAGCCCTCGCCCTGTCCTCGCTGCCTGTCCTTGCACTGGGAGCTGGTATCAGCCCAGGGCTGCTCCTCTGCCCGCTCTGCTGCCCTCGGCCTGGCCCTTGGTGGAGATGTGTGTGACTGGCAGTGCACCCTGGCCCTGGCTGAGGACCCCTCCCCAGGCAGGTGCCAGAGGGGGGGCTGCTACAGACACCCACTGCAGCTAGAGCTGTGCCATGTCCATACCCTGGGACATGTTCCACCTAACAGCAGCATCCCAACAGCCCGAGACTGCCCAGAGAGCAGGCTGTGTTTCTGGCGGTCCCTAGGGGTCCCTTAGCCCGGCCCTGAGCTCAGCAGGCAGAGCAGGCTGCAGCAGCCAAGAGTGCCTGGGCCAGTCTCCCCGTGCCCTGGGTGCTGCCGTGCCTGTGGCTGGTGCCAGGGAGCCCAGGCTCTTCAGGATGGCAGCACTTTGTCTGAGCAGGGCCTGGGCCTGGGGGTTTGAGAGAGAAGAAAACCCAAAAGTGCTGTGATGATGCATGAGGAGCGACAGGGGGTCCCGGGTGTGCTTGTGCCATTGGCACCCGCTGGGAGCTGCTGGGTTGCTTGAGGGGCTCTTTGCCTATGGCCTCCTTGGGGATGAGGTGGGATGTGGTCAAGGTACTGCCCAAGGGCTCTGGGAACTCGCAGGGGTCTTTGGTTTCTCCAGGATTTTTCCAGCTGGTCGGAGGGGACAGCCCTTCAGGACGTGTGGAGATCCGTGATGGGAACCAGTGGAAAACTGTCTGTGATTCAGACTTTGGTCCCAAAGCTGCCGACGTCGTCTGTAGGGACCTGCAGTGCGGCACAGCCCTGTCCGTCCATGGGGCAGCTCCCTTTGGAGAAGGGCTTGGTCCCATCTGGGACAGAGAGCTGCAATGTGTGGGGAATGAAGCCTCCCTCATGTTCTGCCCCAGGGGATCCCCCAGGGACCAGACTTGCACACATGCAAACACTGTCGGTGTCACCTGCACACGTAAGGACTCCGGGTGGGGTGTTAGCCACCGGGGGTGTGCTGGGGACAAGGGAAGCAGGGCAGGGCTTGTGCTGTGCTGGGTGTTTGGACAGAAGGGCTGATGTCATTGTCTGCAGCCTTCAAATGGTGCAGAAGGAGGAGAATGGCCAGCTCTCACCCTTTTGGCCGCTCCTTCAGCTACTGAGGGAGGGAGAGCACAATCCATGCTCTCTCATTGTTCTCTGTCCCCAGAGTACACAGGGTTCAGGCTGGTGAATGGCAGAACGGCGTGCGAAGGGAGGGTGGAGGTCGAGGTGCTGGGGAGCTGGGGCACCCTCTGTGCCTCCCGCTGGGATCTCTCAGACGCCCACGTTCTCTGTCGTCACCTCAACTGTGGCTTTGCTGAGTCCATTCCCAGAGGAGGGCATTTTGGGAGAGGAACCGGACCTGTCTGGAGAGACTCATTCCACTGCGAGGGGACAGAAGCCCACCTGGGACAGTGCCCCCTGACAGCCCTGGGGGCCTCACCATGCTCCCATGAGAACGACGCTGCTGTCATTTGCTCAGGTGAGTGCTGGGAAAACGCTGGGTGAACTCCATTTGCCCCTTGGGTGTGCCATGGCCACCCAAAGCAGGGGACCCCATGGCAGACCCAGGGTGAATTTCTCCCTGGAGAAACCCTGGCTTCCCCAGGAGAGCTTTATCTGCTCAGCCCAACCACTCTGATGTGGGAGAGCTGAGAACTGAACAGGCTCAGGCATCTCTGCCCCCCCACAACAGAGAGGGGGCCGAGGCCCTGGGGCCACCACCAGGGCTGGGCTCCTCTGCTCTCCTGCTGCAGGACAGGCCCAGGATAGGGCTTGGGGGGTCAGCTCCATCCCTCAGGCTGCAGACAGCCCTCTTGCAGCCCCACAGAGACCCCCAAGGACCCCAATCCCACACCCATAGGGGCTGCCCAGGTGCCCCCAGCAGCAGAGCTGAGGGGTGAGCTGCAGGCCGGGGCTGGGCTTTGCCCTTGCTGCTGGTGCTTCTGGTCAGCACAAGCCCCAGCCTTGCCCTGGTGGGTCAGAAAGGTCCCCCTGGCTCTGCTCCCTGCCGGGGACACAGGCTCCCAGTCCCCGATCCCCAGGGCTGCAGAGGGGCAGAGACGTGGGGGCTCTGCCTGGGGTCTCAGCAGGGCCAGTGTCAGTGCTGAGGTTGGGCAAGGCTTGTCCCTGTGCTGCCTGTCCGCGGGGAACCGCAGGGGCGGCCGGC